TTTTATTTTTTAGCTCAGATACGCCATATATAGCTTTAACAATTATTCCGAAAGAAGATGGATAAAAACTTAGCGTTCCTTTTGACTTTAGTTCTTAGCCGCCTACCACGGCAGCAAAGAAGTTTTAAAGCGCCAACTTAAATTAATCTGAACCTGAATTAGTTCCAAGACTTTCCTTATTTTCCTTAATCGTATCCTCTGAAGTGACTTGGCCATCGAGCCACTGGGAATATCAAGGGAAAAATTGAGACACTCCTGCATCATGCCCTTCTGCTGCCCATTCAGATTCATGTTCTAACGCTATATTATGTATAATATAAGTACATGTACATGTACATGTATACGCTCTTGGAAAAAAATCATGCATAGAAAGGTAATTATAAAATTGAAACGATACCATTTAAAATTAAGTATTAACACATCGAAAAGAACCCCAATCTACCAACATCGATTTTATAGGCTGTTCCATGAGACACACATTTTATAATTTTGGCTTTGTTTCAAGAATACGAGGAGTGATTTTTTTTTTTACCTTTTCTCATTGACAAAAAACGCAAATTAGAATTGCATAGAGAATATGAAAACAGTTGCTTTGTTTATTAACTCTTAAAATCTGAGCCAGGTAAAGAAAACTGTATATTTTCCTAATACTTTTATACAGGGGTAAAAAGAATATAGTGCACACATCCGAGAAAATACTCATAATGATTCTTTATGATCTTTATTCCAATGCCTGCAGCACTGAGTTACTTAAATCAGAGACATTTATAATTATGTTTCTGCCTAAATTGTGCTTTTAGGTAAAATTTCTTTTCTTCCAACTTTATTATTTATTTATTTTTTTTTTTTGAATAAGTTCTGTTTTATTTTTCATATATACGGCATTAATTATCGATTGACTAAAGTGCTCATAAAAGTAAAGTTTTTGCCATTGTATATATGCATTTAATGTGAGTTGTCATTTAAATATTTTCACTGTTTTCTTTCGTCAGTAAATCTTGGATCCACGCCTTGGCTTATACATTCAATATGCTATTTTGATCCCCGCGCGCTGACCATCGTTTTACGCAATAGCCTAGATGCAATGTTTATGTATATAAACCGTTAAAGAAGACCCACCACCACCCAAGTGATCCTACCTCTATTACTCTGAATGAACACTGATGTAGTTTTACTTTAACTTTAAGATGGACCATTTTGTTTAATAATAATAAGACAGACTTTGGTCAATTTTGTTTACATCTCTATATTTAGAAATCGTGTCATCGTCAGTCAGACCACCAGCTTATCAATGGCAGCTTACTGTAGGACTTTACTTCCGGTGATTCAAACTTAATGTGTCATCTCCCGAGGGAGATGACAAAAAATGAATCCAATAAAAGGAAAGAACATGTAAAAGTAGTTTGATTAATACATGTATTGCCTAAAAATCTATCCTTGAAATATTTTTGGTGATTTTCAATGAAAATAAAAAAAAAATCTTTTTTTCAAAAAACATCCCATGACTGATTTTTTTTTTAAATTTTAAAATTTAAGGTTGCTTTTAGATTGATGGATTTGAGTCACATGAGCTTACCTGTGAGACACTCGTACAGTATCTGGACCACTTTGACAGTAGACGAATAGTTACAGCCCAGACCGAATGTCTGACCCACCGCTGCCAGCCTTTCGGATGTAAATGTGTGTTCCGCCCTATATTTACCGTTGAAGTAGAAGTCCGAGGTGTTACTAAAGGTGTGACAGAGGGTGTTGTAGGAGGGAAGCTGACAGTTGACATTCGGAACACCGTAGTACTCGGAGTACATTGTTTGCCTAACGTAGATGATGCTCCAGGTATCGCATTGTATAGATAAAGGGGCCCCAGCTGGGGCACATTTGGAGTAAATTGGGCCCCCTGAAAGTTTCAAGATTCAAAATAATTTAAAAAGTAACAGTAATTTTTTAACTAAATTTCGTTTTTCTTACTATTAGAATATAGTCAAATTTTCATGAATATTTTTTCTCCTCTATAATGAAATACTTTCATAACAATCGTATTTAATAGATGGCATAATGTTTCTCGGTTTAATATTTCAACGACTTATTGCGTTACATAAAAATCAAAATAATGCTCTCTCTCTCTCTCTCTCTCTCTCTCTCTCTCTCTCTCTCTCTCTGGTTTTTCGAACCAAATTTTATAATAAAAGACAGTGTTATGGTGGTATAAAAATTTCAAACTTACCTGTTTCAGCAGGATAATTGAAAATCACTATAATTAGCATGAAATTAATAAAAAGGAATTTTTCCATTATTCCAGTTATCCAGATATTTATAACACAGGTCCGTAAATGTATGTACTCATATGTAAACACTTGTACCGACAAATCACCCCGCTATAGGTAACAAATAACGGGCCGATTAATCCACTATAGAGTCGTAAATTGACAGCGAAACTGTTAGTCTTTATTTGATGACCCGGAAATTGATAATTAAAGGTGGTACAACCCCCCATAAAAATAATTATATAGGAAACACGTCGGGGTTGTAAAATTAAATACGGAGACAAAGAAAATTCAACACGACGTTAAAATGAAAACTTCCCTTCATTATTAATTTATCTTTTTTTTAATTTCATGAAGAGAATACAATTACTAGATTTGCTAAGTCCTTATAAAATTATTTGAACACTAAATCACTTTTTCTCAACAAACATTAAAGACAATCTGAACAAGCGGGTTCTCCGAGGTCAAGAATGAACTATAACAATTGTAAATGTTCGATCACGTTTGTAACAATGACACCCCCTCCCTCTCCCACGACTTGATGTGATTTTCTTATCTCAGACTCCAAGACATTTTTGAAGGTCAGTAATAAAAACAATTACTTTATGTTGGATATTTATTTATTTATTCATTTCAGAGGTAGTACATTTAAACATCTATGTACGACTTGTATATGTTGATTGTGTAATGAATATTACTATCTTTAAATTAAAATCAGTTTATAAATTTAAGATTTGGAATTTCTTTGCTCTAGACCAGATTTATCAAATTTTATGTTGTGCATGTATATAAATCTATGAAGTATGTATACCAGCTGATTAGACCATTTTAAAAATTAAATTACGAAAACTCGGCACATTGATTTTTAGGCCAGCATTTAACTTCCATATATGGAAATATTAAAGGCAACGTACGAGGTCATGCGATATTTTTAAACATCTACCATCAACATCTGTATATTTGGAGTGGATAACCACAAAATATCCTCTCAAATAGATTATATTTTATTTACCTCTTCACATAAGTATAATTGTAATCGATTAGAAAGCGATATATCTCGACTTTTTAATATATTTAATTTTCCAAGTCGAGTAATTGTAGTTCGTACTATATACTGACACTAAGATATTTATAACAGACGTGGTGATTTCCCAGTGTTTAAATTTAGATTATGTAAAGTAAATAAAAACTGGGTCAGCGAGGATCGATTAGCCAAATAAGGAAAATAGCGACGATCTGCACCGAATATGGCAGCAACATAGGGTATCAGTATACACGTTTACACTCCATGGGTCTTTTGCAATATACCCGTGACTTTTCATATATAAAAGAAATAACAGATACCATTTGTTTAATAAACCTCTGTAGAATACACATCGCTTATAGTATTCATAACTCGGCTCTTTACACTCGCTGAAAAGAATCGCTAGTGATAAACGGATTTTGATTAAAAAAAAAAATGAATGCAAACGAGATTTTTGAAAAGTTCATGAAAACAGACAATTGTGGAAACATTTTGGAATATTTTGATTCCCTCTGTTACGAACTGGACTTGAAAAACATCAAAAATAGATTGGAGCTGATAGAACATTTCTCCTCTAAAGTGACGTCATGGCGCGCCAGGCCACTTTTGAGCAAACTGACCAGAAAACGAAACGTTGAGGTCTTTCAGAACAATCGAGGCTGTCAACACGCAAAGGTAAGTACAAATTATTCAATTATAATTATATCTATAGATTTTTACATTATAATCACTTGAATAAATCATAGGTTCGTTTTGAAAGATATGCTGGAATTTCTTAAAAATAAAACAAAAATGTCACTCGATTTATTAATTATTTATGTATCTATACATTTTTACATTATAATCACAGGAATGAATCATAGGGTCATTTTGAAAGAAATATTGGAATGTCTTTAAAATAAAATAAAAATGTCAGGCGATTGGGGAACAAAGTAAAAGATGCAATTATAATCAGATTGTAGCGGAAATACATGATGAGCTAACGAAACCAACATATTTATGGCACAACAGCAACATTTTACATGTATATTTGTCAAATTTTATTGATCGATTTTTTTCGTAATAATACATCAAATATTGAGTTTTTTTTATCATAATTGAAAAATTATTGAAGGTCGTAAAAAAGTATTAATACCAGTTGTACCCCATCATGACTTTTTAATTCCATCCAGTGTACGAAAAACTGTTTCCTGCAGTTTTTCACCGTGATTTAACGTCTTCAGATTTTCCGGATGTTTACGACTATTTTATAGTTATTTCTCTTGTCCTCATCGACGTTCGTACAAATTCAGCATTCGTGATTTACTGCCTCATTTCTTTTCAGTTTTTATGTTTTAAGCTCGTGAGATATTTCTTTTCTAAATGCTTGTACTTTTTATTAAAGATTTTAGTTATTGGTGCCGGACCATGTGGCCTTCGAACCGCCATTGAAGTTGCGTTGCTAGGATACATAGTGGTTGTTATGGAGAAGCGCTGTTCTTTTTCCCGTCACAACACCCTTCACCTCTGGCCGTTTGTCATCGAGGACCTGAAGAATCTAGGAGCAAAGGAATTGTTTTCAAAGTTTTGTGTCGGAGGAATAAGTCACATCAGTAAGTAAAAATTGTGTTATATTAACACACTTGATTTTTTAAAACAAATAAAACACCTTTGCCAAAGTGTAAATGTTTTCATCTTTGAGGGAGGGGGGTATACCTTTCCAAATGGTGGGCACCATGGTTTTTTGTTCGTTTGTTTGTTTTTTTAAATAAAAAAGTATTATTTTTCACTGATTTTTCTATTTTTTTTAATCTTGAAACTATAACAATTTAAAACAAACAACTTTAAAAATTCCCTGGGACCGGGATGTATGTAAAAGGGGTGGGGGAGGAGCTGCTCACAAACACCAGTATTCATTGCAATGATTTAGTTTCAGTCCTAATTAACCTATTGATTTCTCTATCAGGTATCCGGAGACTACAAAGTATTTTACTTAAAGTTGCGCTGTTACTTGGGGTGGAAGTGCACACAAATGTGGCGTATGATGGACTGTTGGATCCGCCTGTTGATAATGCAGACGGTAAGATCAGCAAATTCGTGTAGAGTCAGTAATGCAAGATCTCTATTAAGTTAAATCATTTATAAATTCTTAGGTTTATGTTAAAAAAATGACAGGGAATGTTTACATTAAAAGTAGAAGTACTGCGTTTACATTAAAATTCTGACGAAATAATACGATTTTGTCATCTATCATTCAATGAAATGAATATTGTGGACACCATGTTTGTGTACATTTTGATACATTCTAGTGCTGGGAGACTGTTTTCAGAAAATTTAAAGTGTAGACATGGTTGTCAAGAAATGCAAACTGATGAGTATTTTTTGTTCATTTTCTTACAGTGGGTTGGCGATGTCGGTGTACACCTGAAGACCACCCTTTATCTGATTATCAATTCTCCGTCATTATTGGAGCAGACGGAAAAGGCGAAACGCTACCGGGTGTGTATGAAATAAAAGTACATTTTACAAATTCATTGTCTGGGATTACACTTCATTGATATCCAGATAACCAAGATCTAGTTTACTTTTGTGCAAAACTGTACATGTCTTTATTAAGTAAAAATATAAATTTATCTACAGGTTTTGTTCGGAAAGAAATACGTGGGCCCCTAGCAATAGCAGTTACCATAAACTTTAAACGGAAATATACAAACCAAGAGGCCAAGGTTCAGGAACTGGGGGGATTAGCCGTATGGGGAAAACCTGAGCATTTCCACAATCTGGTGAACAAGAAAGACATTCTGCTGGAGAACTGTGTTTATTTTAAAGGCGAAACACATTATTTTGTGATGACTGCTTTAAAACAAAGCTTACTCAAAAATGGCGTTTTAAAATCCAACCAACCAAATGCAAAGGCATTATTAGCTCCGGACAACATAGACAAAGTAAAACTAACCAAATTCGCCTGTAATGTAGCGGAAGTGTGTACAGACGGTCTACTTCCGGATCTAGAATGTGAAACCAATTATCGAGGTGAACCTGACGTTGCCATCTTTGATTTTACTGCCATGTATTATTCTGAGAGTGCGTCACGTGTTCTGGTGAGGAACGGACACAAACTGTTAATGGGACTTGTAGGGGATAGCCTGTTAGAGGTAAGTAAAATGTTAAATGTTTATTGGTTGTTTTCTGAAGGTATTAACGCTTGATATGGAGTTCAAGCCTTCTTTAAAAAGGAAAAAAAAATATGTATGAGCATTATTTCTTGGAGTTAATTTTTAAGTTACTAGTTTGATTGTAAATAACTCTCAAAATGTCCTCATTATTTAAAAAAATTCACAATTCATAACCGTTTTTTAAAAGCCTTTCTGGCCATTGGGAACCGGATGTGGTCGAGGCTTCCTCTCGTCGTATGACGCTGCGTGGATGATTCGTCAATGGACTTCCGGTGAGATGTCGCCACTTGAGGTCTTAGCAGAAAGAGAAACCATATACAGTCTTCTGAGTTCCTGTATGGCTGCCTCCGTGTGCAGTGATTACAACAATATGACGGTAGACCCGAAAACCAGGTTTGTTGAATATGTCCATTAATTATCGATAGTTGCTTTATTTCTATTATCACTTATATTTTGATCAGTCCTTTTTTTGGTGTATTTCAGATATAACAATTGGAGTGATCTCGTAGCCAAAACAAAAACCCCCGATATGGTGCGCCATTTGTGCAATACAGAATTATAGAACTGTAAAACTTTACTGAAACTGTGAACCAGGCTTTATTTTCAAGTGAAAATCCGTCCAGTGAAGACACATTTTTCCTCTTTGTATTGTTATAGTGAGGGTTTTGAATTGAACATCTTATTAACATGTTTTATATGTTGTGTTTTAAATTATGAAATTGAAAATAAATGAAAATGTCTTTTCTTTTTCGGAGTTTCTTTACTAAAAATTCTCTATATCCTATTCTGCAAAGTTTACACAAGTTTACACACGAAAGAATGTTGCACATATACATAGCTCCTTTCAAACAGTTCAATATTAAATATATTTAAGGGTATATTTTAGAACAAGAGAGTCGGTCTAAGAATTTAATTGAATTCATTATCTTTATTTCGGTATACCGATTTCAATGGATTTCATAAAGCTTTGGGAATTGTGCCAATCTGAAAGAGTGTAACTTTGTAGAAACATAAGAACAAGTCATGTGGCATCAAATGCTGTATTTTTTTTTAAATCAAATCTGACTCTAAATGTACTGTTCACAATTCAAACGCTTATTAACAAAATCCTGATTCAGATAGACAATAAACTCAAAAAGAGCAAACACTGACATCATCAAAATAACACGATAACAATATTTTATCACTATATAATGTCATGAGAGCGTGATGGGGTCGTTCTGTGTTGGTGTAATTTTAAAGATCATGTCTTTATCTGGATGCACAACAGCATGCGCCCAGTCTACCACAAAATTCAGTTCTGGTGTCTCCTGCGCATGCTCAAACTTAAACTGATATAACAACATAGCTACGGCGAGCCTCAGTTCCAGCCAAGCCAGATGCTGTCCAATGCACACTCGAGAACCTGCACCGAACGGAATGAACATATTTCCGGAAGTTTTGCTTGTGTTTAGAAATCGGAAGGGAACAAATTCCTTTGCTTTATCCCAATAATGCGGGCTGCGATGAATTCCCCAAGTAAATATGATGACGTCAGCCTAAAATGAAGTGTGAATTCATGAGGGGTGGATGTATCATGTAAATATATGCAAAAATGTACATTAATTCCATCAATCACTGATTTTTAGAAGGCTAAGCACTGCCTTATATTAACTCAAGTGAATAAAAATTGTAAGACTTCAGTTTATCACTGAATAGATATAATATTAAAATCATTATTTTAAGGACTGGATTAAAGTGTTTTCCAGGGAAAGGGATATTTTTATTATTGTTTGTCAGTCAAACTTACATGTTGTTTCAGGTTGACGTCACCGAGAGTTACCGGCTCGTAATTCTGTCTGCTGATAAACGGTGCAATCGGGTACAATCGGAGCACCTCGGTCAGTACGCTCTCTGTCTTAGGTAAAGGTGTGGTGGGATCCGCCACCAAAGATTCAAGGAGCTCTTCCGCTTCCTGTCGTAACTCTTCCTGTTTTATGTTCAAAAGAACTTACATGTATACATAAAAACTGACAAATAACACCATATCTATCTAGTATTGAGAACAAAGGCACATTTTATGAGCGATTTGAAATGTTTTAAATTGTTCTTGGTTAGTTTTATTGATCTTTCTACCTGTATATGTGGGTATTTGACCAATAGATACATCACCACAGGAATAGTAGAGGCGGTGGTCTCGGTTCCCGCCATCAAAAACAATTTCATGTTGTCTTTGGCCTGAGCAGATGAAAGGAAAAAAAATTGAAAGATGAACACATTTCAGTATCACATTTTATTTTTAAAAAAAACTTTATTAGATATTTGTTATATAATACAGGTTTTTTGCATCCCCGATATGAACACAGGCACGAACCCTGTATCATCACCCTGTTTCATCACCATTTATTTCACTCTTTAATACACCTTTCCTGGAACACCTCTGTACTTTTCATTCGGAGTACCTCGATCGGATCCTTTTCTATTGTTTTTGAGGTTTATTAAAATTCCAATTTAATTTCATATCATTTAAAATAATTATTTTGTTTAATTATAATTATTTTCATTATTCTTATCGCTGAATGTATTATCATTGGACTAATTAATGTTGGAAATTCAACAAAAAAAAGACACATGAAATTATTAAAAGTACATTTATAGGTACATTTATACATGACTTGTTGACATCATTTTCAAATACATAAAAATAACCCAACAATACATGTAAAAATCTGTATCACACCCCATACTAGTATCAACCCTTGATCAAAATGAGCTATCGGGCTGATATTGGAGTCTCGGGTTGATATGGAGTGTGATACAGATTTTGCCATGTACACGTTACTGAACTTAAAGTAACGCATGAGATGTTATACTTACTTCGCTGAATCCGCATGCGTCGTGCAGTGAGTTGACCAGTCGTTTTCCCTTAATTGTGACGTTATCAATGCTGAGTGCTTCCTCTAAAACCCTTTGTGTGATGGCATCAAATTCTTCGTTTGCGTCAGAGAACTCTTTACTGTCTGATGATATTTCTCCCATGGCATAACATCTATGCAAAATCGTCAACATCGAAGAAATCATTTTCTCTTGCTTCTTTTCCAAACCGTTAAGATCAAGTTCAAGTAAGACATGGCCGACAATGTCCAATGCCATCCGAAGAGTCCATTGTGTGACGTTTACGATGCCCTTCGGATCTTTCTTGAATATTGTACACATTTTCTGTATGTCGCTTATCATTATAGCAGCGCGTTCCTCAATTGAAGTTTTTCGGAATAATGACGCTATAGCGCGCCTTGTTTCGGGACTTTTCTGTGATGATCCAAGGAACGTGTTCTTTAAAGGTGAATTTTCTAAATAATGTTCCGCTCCCTTTTCAAGTTTATATATAGCATGCTGTGCTAGTTTCGGATTAAAAATGTAAATCTTGGCATCAAACTTGAACAGTCCATAGTAGAAATAGTATTCCGTAAGGAACTCGAGTTTCTTTAGTTTGTCACCATGGAACGTCAGGGTTAGTAAAGTCCGGAGGAATCTCCCCGGCTCTGGTATGTAGCCTTTCGTGAGAGGAACCTGATTAAAATAAAAACCAGATTTATAGTGGACAGTAAAGATCACTTAATTGCTACCGGGGTTTTTTTAGCATTTAAAAGTAATACAGAACCTTCAGCAGCAAAAAGACGCAAAGAATAAAAAAGTACCAATGCATGAAAGCAATTTTTAAAGGTCGTCAACACGAAGCGAAGGGAAAGATTTGTCTTTCATATCCTAATATGTGTGTATAATATATGTAATATATTTATATGTGTATAAAAATGTAATATTATATAATATATTATTTGCTTTCATATTTATATTTTGCTTAAAATCAAATTCATTACAAAATGTATCAACTATTTAATGGATAAAATATTTCGAACTAGAACTAAATACCAATACCAATACACGAACTTTTCAAGTAGTATGACCCCCCCCCCCTTCTAATTTTTCCAAAACATAATGATTAACTGTAAATTTATACCACAAAAAGATTCATTAATAAACATTGCCTAATTTGCTTTCCCCACTTTTTTGTAGGATAGTCAAATTCCCCCATACCAATGTATTTCATTTTTCCCTTATCAATAGTGTTTGAAGACACACACCCCCTCCAACGAAATATTATTTTCAAATCTGGAAATTTCCAACTTTCCCGAATTTTTAAGGGCCCTGTCACACCAAGCTGCGTCCACACGGAGTCATTACGGTGTTGTAAAAATGTTAAAATCGCAGTGGAATCGCAGGGAAATCACACAAATTTCTGTAAAATTTTTACAATGTGAAGATGTCACGGCGTCCCTACGGCGACCCACGCGTTTCTACGGCGTTCTCGCTGCGGGCTACTGCGTTCCCAACGGAGATCTCTTCGCGATTGACTGCGCTTCCGCGGAGCTTTTACGGCGTGTTAGGAGTTGTCATCTCGCGTTCACGGCGTTCTCACTGCGCTTGCTGTGTTCACAATACGTCAAAGATGCGTTCTTCACTATGGATATATATTCAGGAGTGTAACACATTTATTTTTAAAGATTCGAGTCACATAACGAAAATACTTCAAAAAATGATATATTTGAATAATTTAGTACTAAATTACTGTTAGTTTTATAATTAAAACCCTTCTTTTTTTTCAATTATATCAATTCAGATGTGTTTTTCCATTGATTTTATTATGAATGTAAAAAATAAACACACTAAAAAGTTGTTATAAAATTTAAGTAATTCCACCGCAACTCCACTGAAACAACAGAACAGGTTCTGGTATAATTTTTACTTCCCAATTCTACTCCCATGCTCCTGGCCAGGAGTGCAACAAATACGGTAGAATTATTGCTGATCAAATATGAGGCCATTGCTCTTGTTTTGTGAGCTGGCTGACAACGCTCTAACAACGCCGTGAAAGCGCATTGTGATCGCCAACGTTCGCGGTAGAAACGCCAAGGGAGCGCAATGATCGCAGTGACAACTCCTTGTTGTCGCTGTGTAATCGCAGTCAAAAAAATCACAAGACAATTAATCTCATTAGAAGCGCCGTAAAAGCGTGATAGAAACGCCGAGACATCTCCAAGGTCTCGGCGAGGTCTCCGTGGAAGCGCAGTCTACTATCACTGCGTCCATGCTGCGATCATGTGCGTCTTCACGGCGTGCGTACGGAGCTCCCACTGCGTTGTTGGAGATCTCACCGCGCTGCTACGGCGATCATACTACGTTTCTACTGCGTTCTTACCAGACGGCGATCACACGGCGCGTACTTTGTGCATGCCCAAAGTGCGCGCCGTCCCCTGGCGTTCTAGGAGACCCTACGCGACCCTACCGCGTTCAGAGGAGATCTCGCCGCGTTGTCACGGCGCTGTAGGAGACTCTACTGCGCTCACCTCGGCGTTTTGCATTTATTATGGACGCCGTGCGATCGCCGTGAGGACGCAGTCCCGGTGTGACAGGGGTTTAACAATAATAATTTTTTTCTATGTTTGTATGTCAAAGACTTTTAGGAGAGTAGTCAATTATATTGCTACATGTAGCTCCACCCCCACCCTCACATGTTGAAGAACGATATAACGTGTTAGATCTTGTATTTGTACATAAACAACGTAAAGATAATGAACAGTAATTGATCGCAAAATTCTTATAAAATATCATATTTGTGACAGGTCATAAAATACAGGTGCCTGCAGCCTAGGAGTAGTAAGAATCCTCTGTTGACCGGACATTCCCGACGTGAGACCGATGTATTTTGCATTTTGAATTTCTAAAAGTCTCTGCCGGGGGGGGGGGGGGGGGGAGGGGGAGGGGGGGGGCTTACACGCTCGCACACACTAAATAAAAACTCGCTAAACTCGAAAGAAGCTATTTCGAGAGGTGGAGTGAAATTTTGACAAGTAGAATTTTTGTAAGGGTTAGGTTTAAAAATTGACAGGCAGAAAAAAATAAATTTATTTAAAAATAAATAAATATATAGATCAATTACATGGGCTGCGTAGATAAAACTAAAAAAAAGGGGGAGGGGAGGGGGTTTCCTTTGAATAAATATTTTTGGTCAGAATTAACAGCAAAAGTATATTCTCAGAAAAAAAAGAGTGTGAGGGCTGTGCTTCTACATTTATAAACATTGTATGATGAATAAATTGATTTACTGGAATATTACATGTAACTAAGATAATATATTCTTATAAATATTTTGAAGTATAGAAAAATAGGATAGTGGCAATTTGCATAAATTATGTATCTTTCGCAATCCCATTTTGAGGGGGGGGGGGAGTGTAAACTTAAGAATCATTAATGAATATCGTATGAGAAGTTATCCCCCCCCCCCAAAAAAAAAAAAACAACATGAAACATAAAAATGTGATTGAGTATAAGGCAGTGTGTTTTATAAAATTAGGTTTTTTGTTAATAACTTAATACTAGGTGTTATTCAATAGAAACATTAAACCATTTTTAGATGTGCTCTTTCTATCAAAGCATAAAGATCTATCGCTTCTTCCGCCGATAATAAAATCTGATTTTTATATATGCGTGTCTTTAAATCTTACATAACCCACTTGTCTATGCATAAAATCTTTTATTTTTCTGCTTTACGAATGTCCCTGTATAATTTTATATCGATAGGAAACCAATACTACATTGTAATTGTTTCTAGCATCGTCTGATTTTTAGCGGGAAGGGGACACCATACATTTTAAGGTATAGAATAAATTTCTTAAAAGTTCTACACTTTGTGAATAATTCACAAAATTAGAAATGAAGCTTGGGGAATGTATCAGTAGAAAATAAAGTAAAAAAAAATGTAATCATTTGGTTTTGGTAATGGCATTGAAAAATAATGACGCTGTCGTGACTTCAATGCTACCCCAGATGTGTTAGTCGTGTCATTTTGAATTCTTTAGATTAACCTGCAAATTAGGTTCAATGAAAATAAACCCCCAAGACACTGATGTACAAGTAACACTAACTGACATCATGCGCCTTTGCTTTATTTTCTTGCTTTTACAAAAAGTTGCACGGGATACCCGATTTCGCTGATTCAATGACATTCCGATATCGGGGACAATTTACATGTATTATGCGATTTCTCTGATAATACCCTATTTCGAGCATTCTCTCCAACCTGTTGAAGGCACTTAAATGGCTGTTCATATACACGAGAGTTGTAATAAGACAGTCAACCAGAACATTTACTAGCATTGAAGCTATGCACATTAATAGAAACATAAACAAACCCGTCTTCTCATTTGTTTTGTAAGTTAACTGATAAATAATGTACCCTTATAAAGTTGTACTGTGCAATGAATAAATACATTTGACGGATTGTATTCCTAATGCAGGGAAATAAAGTATGAAGTTTAACATGTTTAATATATATCACTTGTATATACAAGAACTTGAATATAATGAAATTAGAAATAATCAATGCGAGAAGAAAAATTGCACAACATAATATTTTTTGAAAATAGACTATAAACATTTCAAAGTAATTCTGAAGAATATTACTACAAAGGAAAATTTAAGATGTTGCTCCTACATCATGTACATAATCATATTAAGCTTAAACTGTTAAAAGCAGAGATAAGCAGTGCATAAACACAACAACAAAAATCGATATGTTTACATCCTTGTTGCTACAATATCTTTCTGCACATAAATAAAGATAGTAATATTATTTTCCAGCGGCAGATTGACATCACCAAATAGAAAACTACACGAACCTTGGAGTACACATGTTCTATTTCGAGGGGTATCAAAAATGGGACATTGTAGTGGTCTCAGGCCACTACTACGTTTGAAATATCAACTGTATTTGATAACTTGAAAGATGACACATTTTATAAAATGCATATGGAGACTGCAATACTGTTCATATAACATTCCCTTTTTGTTAAGATGTATGTCATTTATCCAAAGGATTTGCTTAAATTACCGAAAATAATGTTTACATACCAAATGAAATACCCATCTTACGATGATCAACAGGACTTGTGCTGCGGTAATGATCATGCTGGCATTACACGTGTTTATGTTACACTTGAGTGACCCTCATTATCTCGTCATTTAAACACGGCCACATTTCAGATAGCGGCGTTATCAGAATTTCCAAACTAAACGTGGCTTATCTCTCAAGTACAGCGAGATGCTATCAATAATTCACCTTTCCAACCACTAGGACACACTAGGGTAAGAAGTTTTACACTAATAATGGAGAAGGACCCAGCATTAAAATCTACAAAAGTCGTGACAACATACGATGGAATTTTTAAGAATATGTACGATGAGAAAATTCGGGAAATGTTTACTGACATTCGGATTAACCTTTCCAAAGGGGATTGGAAAAAGGCAGAGGATATTCTTAATCAAGCGCTGATAGAATCCGAACGGAGTGTGGGGGACAAGAAAACTCTGACAACGATCAGAGACGAGATCGTCAGGTATAAGGCGCAGAAAATCGAACCTGGGGTTGCCATGAAGAGAGAAGCGAGCTGGGATGAAGTATGTCGGAGGCCAATCACTCGGATAGATGTTAGTTTCTTTGAGCTGCCCCAGGGATTGTTCTACCTCAACATTGCTGTTCCGGGAACGCCAAGTCCAGTTCAAATTCTGGGAAGAAAAATCCTCTCTGATTTTTTCATCAAAAACAAGATTCCCGAACTCTATTGCAGTTTCATCTCGGCGGACATGCTCCTTGGCCTCTTTGTGGATCAGAGAATAACCGAAAACAAAGTCATTGTGCATTTCTACCCATTTGACAAATCAGAAAAACTGTATTTCATGAACCAAGTGATGAACAGTTCTTTTGGAATGCCAGAATTAGTCTTTCCATACCCGCTACTGAGGCAGTCGACACACGAGGAGCTCTGTTCTCCGCCACAGGGTTGGGAGATAGATGATGCCTTTGACGTCATGCTGAGTTGTGGTGAAGAAAGAATCAGAGATTACACCATTCAATTTATGGCATCCGCTAAAATAAAGAACGCCAGACTCTATGACCCAGCTTGCTCAACTGGTGTTTTCCTGTCTACACTTAAAAACGCGTTTCCCGACAGCTATACAATAGGCCAAGATCTTAGTAAGCAGATGACGGAAATTTCCCGCCAAAGGGTTGACGAGGTGCATTGTGGGAATGCCATGGAGCCAAAAATAGAACCAGGGACGGCTGATTACTGTTTTGTTCGTTTTCTAAACTCAGAAGTCGTGAAGTCAACAGAGGCAGAAGATCTGCTGACTGCTCTTCTTCCAACCGTGAAAAGGGGCGGGTATATGATAATTTTTGGACACACTCCAGTGCTCCTCTCCTCCGCTAATTATAGAGCTGTTGCAGGCTATAAAGTTGTGCAGTGCGTGGCAACAGCTGTTGACAATTTTGGAATATTTCAATATTATGTTTTGCAACGATTATAAATTAGGAAAAGTTTATGTTTTTTAAATAGAGGCCGATGAAACGTTTAAAATGATTTTTGACAGAATCTATCCTTAACAGTGGGACGGACAACTTCGGAATGGACATTTTTCCGAACTTGCTCACCCTTCCAAGTAAAAGGAAGGATTAACTACATATATATTAATATCGTAGACACGCATAATATTATCGTTTACTGATTTTTATTTGAAAATTAAAATGTATAGTCGTGTACTTATTTTTATTTTCAAATAAAAATCAGTAAACGACACTATGGGATGGAAAAAGTGGGTCGGTAGGTAGGTGAGGAATAAAAAAATTCTCAGAAAATGCCATTTTCAATGCTGAATTTTTAATTTTTTTTCCAAGAATACTTAAAAAAATAATTGCTTCCTGTTCATTAAAAAAAGGTCTTGAGTCAGGCCATTTTAAGCCAGTCGGACGGGAGGGGGCAACCAAGCAATTTTTTAAAGGTGGCCCAATAAAATGCTTTCTTTGGTTGTTAGGACAAAAATTAATGTTACAGTTGTTGCAGAAAAAATGAATAATCTGCGTAAGCGGGTTATGTAATTTTTTTTTTTTTAACAGCTGTAATGTTAATTCCTGTACTAACAAATTAAGAAAGACATTTTATTGTTTATATTTATATCTGTACAAATAATCATTTAAAGTAGGATTAAGTAGATGAAATATTGTATTATCTATATTTACGTCATTATATGTTGATGGAAGAGCCACTGCTCAATAAATCTGTAGAGGTCATATGCTTAGCGGTATCTACTGACTGATAAACGTTAGTTTTCTTAAAGAAATAAACAAGATAATATTCAGTGGATGTAAATATACTTGTGTTTAAACGCTAATTACACAATAATGATTTTAAATGTTAATAATTCCCTTATATGATAAAGAACCGGGGGGGGGGGGGGATAAGCCGAGCCACATGCCTTCAACGAATAAAAGAAATCAATAAATTTATTTTTCAAAAATTGTACTTTTTAGTTAAATTTAGCTAGGTAATGTTTATTACTAATTGCATACAAAATTGATAATGCATGAATACAGTAATTGCGAAATTCATTATGATTAACGCACCAAAATGGCAACACTCTCAATTTTCACTAAACCGACATAAATTGGATGCTATAAGTATATTTTTACAATAGAGTGGGTCTTCGCTCCATTTTTCTTTTGAGAACAAATAATGAAAGGCAATGGAAAGATATTTCTTTTTACACTTGCAAAAATTTGGCACGAAGACCCACTCTACATAAAAAATTTTCACCATGTTCTTAAAAAATTCTACGCTTGCTAAACATGCTATATACGAAGAACTGTTTGCTATTTAAATGGCATTGCATATGTAATGAATATGTAAAAAGAGCGTTATATGACATTCTTGCACCTATGAAAATATAGCACTGATGTAACATAGATTGGTCTTGAATTGAAAAGGTATATCTATAAATAGAAGTGGGTGATTTCCTTTTAAATTTTCGAGTCTTGACGATACTGATCAATATGTAGCTGGGGGAGCCGCAAACATATATATGTGGAGGGGTGGTTGTATTTTCAGACGTCTTTACTTTGTCGCTACTGGAGAAACACTGGAGACGTTCAGCGAATTGTATACAAAGTTTCTTTATTTCGATCTTTTTAGAATTTGTACTCTTAGAAATAAAAATTTCTCATCGGTCAATTTGTGGCTAAAATTCACAATTTTTACTTATGTAGATCATCTGCCTCTCGTATTATTTAAACATTCCGGTCTGTTCTTTACGACTTACTCAAACACAATATCTCAAAGCCGTAATATGTGCATGAATGTTAAAAACAAGATTTTGTACTCTTTCAAATGTTTATTAATTCACCATGATATGTTGATCCTTGAACGATTTCAGAATAGATAGTTTTCGTATGACGTATTTTCCTTGCGAGTTACCTCCCTTGGCCGCCATCTTGGAGGTCCAACTAAAGAATGTTCCCCTTTGAGCAACCAAATTAAACTTCTATGGCAGAAATAATATGTTGACGGTGCGACCGTTAGGGCGAGCGCAGATACATATACAATTTACATCGTCTCTTCAAACCGCACGTGGCATTTGGTTCGTCTTGACTGTAAGTTGCAGTATCAAATCGAAGCCTGAACAGTGCTAGTTTTAATGAAGAATGTTTAATCTACTGTTTTTTCTGCAATATCCATAAAATCAATGTGATTTTATTTTTTGTTGAACGTAGTTTGCGGCGAGATGCAATTCGCAAAGCATTATGGGACCACATGTTACTGCGGAAAAAAATCGTTAGGATCAATGTGCAAAGTCCGAATTTCTCTTCGCCCAGGCGTTGCTTTAAGAGCTCACAGTGACGAGCGGCGTTTCGCGCCGCTCGCTGCGCTCGCTATAATGGCCAAAATCTTTAAAATACTAAAATTGCGAATTAAAGGTAGCTTGTGTTAACATAAATTCGTAAGAAAAATTGTGTTATCTTTTCCCAAATGCCCAGTACGACTAGTTTAAATTGGTTGAATAATGAAGGAATTCGGGCTTGTATACCTTAAATGTGGCGACCAACGGAAAATAACACTTGCTAAAATGGCATGGATGTTTGATAATTAAAGTCCAAAAAGGTTGTAATATAAATCTTGAATAAAAGATGAGCGCCAAAAAGTCCAAAAGATATAAAGAGCCAGAACATCCAAGAAGAGCTAAGAGAGATAATTTTTCTGGCATTTGGGGAATATTTGCTCAGAGGGTTTCTTGGTCCCGGATATAAAAGGTATTTTTTTTCCGGAATAAGAAATCAAATAAACATCGGAGGAAATAGCCTAATAATGACTAATCAATAGCGCAAAATTTGGAAATCGGACTTCGATCGTTTTGATAAGTCAAATTATCATTACAAAGCTTGTTTCAAAATAATTATACACAAAAAAAAAATATATATATATATAAACAACAAAAACAAACAAATTCAAAAAATTGTGGTCCCCCGCTTTCGGTGTCTTAGTGGATGGAATGCAATTATTTATGGCATATTGTAATTGTCTTCTTTGTGTATCCTGTCTTTTTTGTGCATCACACAAAAAAAAACATTAATAATTGAAGTAATAACAGTTATGGCAAAGATTATAGCTTCTAAAAACTACACCAACTTTCAAGATCAAGGTCATGAGGTCAAATGTCTTATTTCGATCCAAAAGGTCTTGTCACAAGTAAATGCACATGTTAAGAAAATATCAAAAACCAGAGTATACAATCGAAAAGGTCCTGAAACAGGTGATGCACATGTCAAATGTAAATACCATATCTTCCTTCAATCAAAAGTTATCAACAATGTTAAATACCATATCTTCCCTCAATCAAAAGTTATCAACAATGTTAAAAATTTTGAAAATTAGGTCAAACTTCAAAGTCAAGGTCATGGGGGTTAAAAATCATAGTACATCTGGAAATGCTTGTCACAAGTAATCCATTTGTCAAATATGCATGCCCTTCGCTCCTTCAAAAGGTAGCAACACTGATAAGATGTTTGAAAATAAGGTCAAACTTGAAGGTCAAGGTCACGGGTTTAAATATCATAGCACGTTCGGAAACATTTTGACACAGGTAATGCACTTGTCAAATATGAACGCC